TATCCACTTGAAGACGGAATGGTCTTTCGAATTAGTTATTGCGCGCATTAGGCGGAAATTATGTCGACTAATGGGCATCTCTGCACCTCATGTGGGTGGATTATTTCCAAAATTACGTCAGTTCTTATGATATTCGCTTGTAGGTTTGAAATATCGCCTTATGATGTACCTTGATGTACAAGGTTTTCACGCGTTAAGCCTCTTTCGTTCTTATATTCGATTGTTAACTTTCTATTTAAATGATCTACGCTAGTCAAGCGAAATTTCCACAAAATATTCCCTGCACTACTTTCGAAAATTTCGATATACTTAACTAATGGAAATCTGCATTTTTTCTCACCTGTTGTTTATTAAAGAAATTCTTTGCACAATTTTGCATAACCCACGAAGTCAGTCTTGCATGAATTTTTTACGTAGGCGATGCCTTTAAAATAACGAAATTCACGAACTTGACAGATACGTGACGGTTCGAAGGAAAAAATGCAATTTTAGGGCAGCACCATACGTAGTTAATGCAATGATGTTGCAGCATGGAAGTGGATTAAAGTGCATGATTAATCAATGAAGATGAAGAAATGCTGTTATGAATTAATATGCCGAAAATGAACAGTGTAATAAATCATTACTATAAGAAAAAATATTAAAGATTTGGAATTAAGTATTACTCTCATTAACTTTGTTATTGAAAAATAGTAAATAGTTCACTTTAAAATTAACTTCAACAATAATTTCCTTGGTCGTTATTTACAATGTTATTTGAACTGTACTAAAACATTTTTAAAGTTATTAAATGGCTTTACCATAATGCGGATAAATATAAATGTCGTGAATTATGCTCGTGAATGAATGTACAAACTAATTACACAAGTTAAACTCGCAATTATACTCATGTTTTCCATTAAGTTGTGAATTAGATTACGATACACACGAGCTTTTCACATACATGTCGCTTTAATAACAATAAATGTTTGAAGAATACAAAAAAAATTAATTAAAGAACAATTGAGCATAAAAAACTGAAGTAACAAAGAACACGGAACTATTGAGATATTCTCGATATTAAGAAATTTTTGATATCTATATATTTTTCTCTTTGATTACTAAAGTCGTCTTTGATATTTTACTGACATTTACCTTTCTACAAATTTATCCATATTTTCAAGTAAACAGTAATATATTTTAGTTGTGTTATTTAACGAGTCTTTAACTTCCTACACGCATTTCCTTTATTTAACATTATTTACATAATCTTTCGTGGTTAGGTACATTATTAATCGTGGTAACGCCTAACGGATCTTTAGCTAAAAAAAAGTGTCAATAGAAAGATTTAACGTAAGAATAATTAATGGTACCTACTACTTATTACGTTGTATCATAGCTAAATTGAAGAATAAAGCGAAGAATACTCGAGTATTGTTTAAATTACCATCAGTGACCTTGAACTCCACCGTAGAAAGTTAACCGGAAGGTAAATTAAACAAAATTGAATACTTCTACGCATATGTTACATAGTTATATAATGTATTTGGTGTAGATGGTACGCAATTTATTTACTTAAATTAATGTTATAATGGGTAGGTACCTAGCTATTATTAAGCTATTGAGGAATGGAAAAAATACAATTTTGTTCAAGTGCTACATTGGTTTATTCATTCTCAAATCAACTGATAAAAAATGCAAATCTTTTGCAAAAAATAATTGCTGCCCGCGGTTACTCCTTATACATACGCCTATAGACGTGCAATTTTTTAATATCAAACGAAAAATTGCAAAACCAATGTAGTAGGGAACGTTGGCAAAAGGATAATAATCGCCGAGGAAAATCATGAGAAACGCCGCGTACATATGCAACTAAGGTCAATTACGCATGTATGAGAAATTTTTCTAACTGCACACCAGTTCGTCGTGTTTGTGCAATTGATGATTTATCTTAAGTATCAAATAATAAAACAAAACGAAAAAATTACGGCTGTGGTAATTGGGATCTTGTTTGCTCGCAGATACGAATCAGTTATTGCGTATTACAATTAAGAGGAATGGGTTACACTTTTTATAATTCACATTCATCAATCACGTTAGACATATTTGAATTGTTAACCATCCCCATAGTCCGAAAAAATTCAGCCCGTCGAAATTTACCAATTTTTTAGCCGCTCGGTTTTCCACGGATCTAAAAATAATTCGCGAGGAAACGCTTATTGATCCCGGCAGAGCGACCGCCCCGCTGTCGACCGCCTCCGGTGGCGGGCCCGCCTTCCCAGCCCGCCTTTCCGAACAAATCCCGATAACTTCAAACAAAGGTCGCCGCTAAAACTTTGACTAATGTCTGTAGCTATCGCAAACCAGCATAAAACCGACGAGAAAAACACCGCTGAAAGAAATTGTAAGAGTTTGAAGATCGGGGAATCAATCCGGTCGCTTCAATCGGATTCTGGTCTCGTTTTTGGCTCGGACGCTGCTAAGTGATGGATATAGGGATGAATGATGATTTGTATCTGGATGTTTATTCCACGTTTTTGTTTGGTGCAGAAATAATGGTTAACAGATCATTTTTAAGTAACGATAATCTAATGATGAGGACGAATGATAAAAGCAGTACATGGTGTTTAAATTAGCTATAATCAGCTTGGTTTCTTAAAAACAAATAAATGTGTATTTGTACAGCTCATTTTCCTGCTCAGAATTGGGTTTTACGTGGTTTGAAAATTTCTTCTGTAACAAAACTTTCAAGGGTGTAAATTTAGGGAAGCCTAGCTCTAGAGAAAATAAAATTTAGTTTTTTTCTTACAACTTTATTTTTGATTTAACTACTAATTTCCTTTAATTAAAGACTCTAGAATGCATATAAATCAAGTTCGGCAAGTCTTATATTTTCTTGTCAAGTTGAATATCTAAATTTAAAATTTCCTTAATTACATTTTTAAAGTAGCTATCAATACTTCTCCCCGTGATTCTTTTATAGATATTGTTTAAATATTATTCTCTTTTCGTTTATTACCAACCTCATTCTATTTATTTTCTATCAATAATTTGTTTTTTACTTACTTGGACCTATTTTTTCTACATATAGGTAGGTACGAATTAAAATGATACTGGTGATTCTATACCAGTGTAGGTAAATCTTTCTTCATTGTTGGATAAAACAAATTCGACGACCCCCTACAAATTGCACGATGTAATAAAGAGTACGCGAAAATCCGACTTCTAAAGCAACGAAACCACTTCGAGTGTCCTTTTGTAAAACAAGGGCAATCAAACCAGACGTCAAAGGGATTGTCAATAGCTTACGCAGATTGTAATATTCCAGGTTATTGTTGCATCCTCTCAATCAATTTGTACTGTACTTGGGTTTTCCACTGCGGTATAATTCTTTAAGGATTACCGTTTTTCTTTCTTATAAAAAGAATTTAAAAATTTTACCAAGTTTTCGCTACAAAATCAAATATTCCAAACACTTAAACTGTTCCTTAATTTACTTAAAACCCAAGGATTTGCCGGGAGAGAAATCGTTCGAGCGATAAAATTTCGCGTTTAGAAAAAGTTTCCGATCGAAAATTCAAATGAAGCGATGCCCAAGGCAAGGCATGTCCGGAACAGCCGGTTGGAGGCTCCTGCGACCCTTAAGTTGGCAACAATACTGTGAAATTGAAAGGAACAAATCTACCCTTTGACATAAAACGTAAACCGTTTATTTCGTTTTTTTCTAGACTGGTTTCGATACGATTCGAGTGCTGAATTATGTAATAAAATCGATTAAAAAATAACTTTTACTGTAGAGTTTTGTTGAGTAAAGGTAACGGGGGAAGTAATGTTACGTAGTATCGCATTCCGAGGTCTTTACTTTGTATCTAAAATTAGAGAAATTCTTACAATTAATTTGCTATATGAAGCAAATATTCTCAAACTGGTGACTGAACTACCACAACAAAGTTTGAGTCTGCGAGTTGTATCGAAAAGCGTGTGCACACGACATTTGCACCTGGTTTGCTTTTCGAGCGACCTACGGGGATCGGGAAGCGGGGCGAATGCGGGTCGATACAGCAGCGGCCGCTGCTCCTCTATGAATATTTGATATCCCTCGTTGTTGCCGCTCGTTGTCGTGCCCCCGTACATGTCGACCTCTGATCGCGAATGCCACGAGGGCGTTGGAAAAGTGAGACACCGTAAATGACGTACTCGAGCTGTCATTGTAACGTGTTCTGCGATTTCGTATGTGATTTGGTAGAATTTGTTGGGCTGGATAATTGGATTTGCAAGCAAGATTTAACACGGATATTAATGATAATGAGGAAATTTGCCCTCGCCCTCATCACACGAAATTTTATCCTCATCATTCTAAAATTTGGTACAAAATCTCTGGAGTATCTAATAGGCCAAATTGGGTCGTCAGAGATACAGGTTATCTTCTAATGGATTGTTATAATCAAGAAGATGGTTCAGCTTTAGTTATGGCCTAGATTTATATACAGACAAATACAGTAAATTGTTGTGGTTTAATTGTTTTAGCTAATCCAGGATGTTTATGTCTTGTATCTGTTTCGTTTCATCTTCTCCGGTCTAATATCAATTATAATTTGTAACGTATATCGTTCTAAAGATTTGTCTTATTTGAAAAGATGACCTAGTGAAAATATCAGCCAAAAGTTTTCAAAGAATATTGTTCAATTGATATCAGATAAGTTTGCGAATGTGTCTTCCATCATTTCTATGAAATATTTCGTGGACATTTGTGAAACTTTCATTGAAAAATCGCCGAGATATGCGAACTCCATGGCAGAGAATAAGTTGCTAAAAATAAAAACGTTAAAAAATAAAACCGAACCCGGTCGGGTCCTGACCTTAAAATCAACGAAATTTTCGCAATTTCCACCCACGGTACATCATTCAAAGTTCCTCGAAGATCGCCCAATTGGTCCCGGAGGAGACGTCGCCGGCCGTCCCGCGCCAATGGAACGAGGGCGGGCAACGCGCCGCCGTCGGCGCCGCCCCTCGCTCTCGTTCCGACCCGGCGGCGGCCTCATCCTCGCGTAAGCTGCCGTCGAGACGCGCTCGCTTTACGTCCGACGCGCTGCTGTACGAACTCGTTGTGTGCACCTGGACGACGGCACCGTGGAGGCGCGTGGAGGTGGGCAATCCGGCCCGGGTGGCGCTTTAGGCCAGCTCGGTGAGTCGCGAGTCGCCGTCAATATTCGCGGATTTTTCGCCAACAAGCTCGGCAGCGCCCTTCAAGATACAGGTAATTTAAATAATCCATATTTTTTTCGTCAGATTCGGCGTTTTAATAACTTACTTATTTAGTATTCTACAATAATTTTAAGTTGTACCACAACATTTTTCTACATTTTTTTTCGAAAAATTGCTTAATCAATGATTTTTGCAACTGCGCATTCGCTAACCAAAATTAATAATTTTTGAATTAAGTAACTCATTTTAAAACAAATTATTTTACTTAAAACTCGTTATTAATTTCAAATTATCAAACATTTATATTACTTCAATAATGTTCGTTGTAATTTTTTTCTAGATGGTAAGTATCTATGTATTTCTAACTCAACGTAATGATATTTCCAATAAATCGACATCTACTCTAATACATTTATGTGAATATTTACACAAGGCACTATTTTATAAATTGGATTAAATTATTTATAGCACAAAATGGACGTTCGTTAAGATGGCTGAAATCAATACTAATGTTACGTAACCCTTTTATATACATCGAATTGTTTTCACTACCTATTCTACAAACAAAACAATTATTATTGCTCTATCTCTCTATCTTATCATCATAAACCATCATTAATTGTCTAATTATTAAAAGTACTATTTCTTGTTTATTAATCGATCGAGTATACCTATTGGGGAGCGGGGGGTTAAGCGCAATGCCTCCCGACCCCATTCCGAACCAAACAAATATTAATTGAGTTCTTCTCTCCAGGTTAACATGGATGGCATTGCGCTTCCCCTCGTGGATACCCATCAATAAAATAACACAACCAACACAAAAATGTCGAGAACAATACCTCTAATCAATATGGAGTGGAGTGAACTGAAAGATGTGGTGTGGACGAAGCTCCAAGAACCCCGAACCCAAAGGAAGTTAGTACTGGTTATAGTGTCCATAGCGCTCTTACTAGATAACATGTTGTACATGGTGATAGTACCCATTATACCAGATTATTTGCGTTATATCGGAGCGTACGAGGATTATACGGTTTCGGGAAACGAGTCGCTTCCACCAGGTACACCCCAGAAACACGACCATCATGGCCAGGACGAGGCCACCGGCATCCTATTCGCTTCCAAAGCCATCGTCCAGCTCATGGTAAACCCGTTCTCGGGGGCCCTTATCGACCGCATCGGCTACGACATACCCATGATGATTGGCTTGACCATAATGTTCCTGTCGACGGCGGTGTTCGCCTGCGGCCGCAGCTACGGCATCCTGTTTTTCGCCCGAAGTCTACAGGGCGTCGGATCAGCGTTCGCGGACACCGCCGGTCTAGCGATGATCGCCGACCGCTTTACCGAAGAGAACGAACGATCGCAGGCGCTCGGCACGGCGCTGGCCTTCATCAGCTTCGGGTGCCTAGTGGCGCCGCCTTTCGGCGGGGCCCTTTACCAATTCGCCGGCAAAGAAGTGCCTTTCCTGATACTGTCGTTCGTTTCGCTGTTGGACGGTTTTATGCTACTGCTGGTCATGAAGCCTATAAAGACGCAAATCAAAGAAGCTCAAATAGTCAAACCGCCCGGCGTTCCGATATGGAGGCTCTTTATGGACAAGCATATAGCCATTTGTTCCGGAGCTCTCATGATGTCGAACGTCGCTCTGGCTTTCTTAGAGCCGACCATCACGCTCTGGATAGAAGACAATTTGACGACGGAGAATTGGAAAGTTGGGATCGTTTGGTTGCCGGCCTTTTTCCCTCACGTGTTGGGCGTTATAATTACGGTCAAAATGGCGAGGAAATATCCGCAGCATCAGTGGCTCATGGCGGCGGGAGGCTTAGCGTTGGAAGGCTTATCCTGCTTCGTAATACCTTTTGCGGACTCTTACATCTTTCTAATGGTGCCTATTTGCACGATATGTTTCGGTATCGCTTTAATCGATACGGCGCTCCTTCCTACCCTCGGCTACCTGGTGGATATTCGTTACGTTTCAGTGTACGGCAGCATCTACGCCATAGCGGACATTTCTTATTCCGTAGCATACGCTATAGGGCCTATTATCGCCGGAGGTGTAGTCGAAGCTATAGGCTTTACGGCTCTCAACGTACTAATAGCGTTCAGCAACCTGCTCTACGCCCCGCTTCTCATCAAACTCAAACACATCTACGATTTCAAACCGTTCGAAAACGAAGCCAACATCCTGATGCAGGACCCGCCTAGTAAGGAATACCAGACGTATACCATGCAGGATCAGAAACCCGTTAGCGGAGATATCCAGAATCATCTGGAATACAGACAAGAGGAGACGAATTTCGGCGGCGGTTACCAACAGCAAAGTTATCAACAACCGAATACATATCAGGAACAGCCTTATCAGGAAACGCCTTTCCAACAGCCTCCCTCAAGACCTCAAGGGAGGGTGTTACCCCAACAGCCTGAAGCAGCGAATCCATTCAGACCTCAAGTTCAACCAACTGGCGGAAATCCTTTTAAACAAGGATTCCAATAAAATTCTGAATTTTATAAAGTAGGTAAGTACCCAATTTTTTAGTTGTTAGCTAGATTTATTTTGTGCATTATGTACATATCAAACCAATTGTTCCTCCTACTGTATATACAACATACATAAGTTAACTTATATGTAGTATTATAGAGGGCATATAGAGAGTAATTTTTATTTATATAGCATTTTTAGTGCTCATTAAAATTTAGTTAAATTGGAATTTCACCGATATTTTTAGAATCATAGCTTTCTTATTAAGGAGCGAATTTTAAAATATTCATACTTTTTTATTCAACGGCTATTAATTATAAGCGGTCGATAAATTTCTGTTAAATTTTATTACACCTATCTAAAATTTTTAAAAATTACTCTGTATAAAAGTAGATACCTACCATTTATTTAAGTGAAGCCAATGTGAAATATCATTCAATAGAAACCCAAAATTAATTATTGAGTACTAGATATTAAAATATAAATATTTAGCTGCAGACATTTATAAACTACCTACACAATTTATAATTGTAATTAAAAATAAAATAGTAGAAATTTAGTACACTACAAATCCAGAAAATATAAATGAACTTGAGGTTTTCTAGTACAATGTAAATTATTAAACTGACTTAATTCTACACCTTGAAAGAACTAGTGGGATAAAACAAAATTAATAATTCATATAAATTAGACCCTTCTAAAGTAAAAATTTTGAATAGTAAATTGGTATCACTTAATTAAAATATTGCCTACAAAATATATTTAAATAAAGTGTACTATTCTTCGGATACAAATAAAAATTGATAGATTTGTTTCGCTAAGATAATAAAATTTGTAGGATAATAAATAAATGTATTGCCAACTTTTCAATTTACTTTTTACATTAAATTACCAACAAAACTACGACATTATCATATATCTAAGATAAAAATTATTTTAAAAATCTATCAATTTTTCGAGTGAATAAAGCATATACTAGATATAAAATGTACGACAGAATTCGAAAAATTGTTGAGTGTATTATTAAATACCTGCACAATATTTCAATTTCTTGTACGGATATTACGTAAAAAATGTAACTTTTAAGTTTTTATGGTTAATTTCAAAAGCCTTTTAATATAAAACTATATCAACTAAGATCGCATACATATCAGAATCGAATGATTCACTTGTTAAGCCGTGATAGGTCGATTAATCGACCGTTTAATTTAAGATTAGCTGTTAGTCCTTTTCAAATGTCATCCTGCCGGTCAATTTTATAAACATCTATCGACAAAAAACCTATCAGAACGTACTATATTCGCAATTGAAATCTGAGTGGCAGATGAAACTTGAAAAATCATGAAGTAGTTAGGAAAATACTTATTTGTCACTAGAAACACATTTGCCTGCTCCCTGAGAATCTCATCTAGGTTTGGTCTAGGATCTCATCAATGGGAAACAATGCTTTATCTATCAAAAAGCAGTGTTGCGATATCCAAAAATTATCGAATCTTCTCGGATAAGCAAATGAGTTTCTTGTATTTAGATTTAAGTCACTGAGTAGCCCGCATCACTTACCCCGTCTTGTTTACTATAATTTTGTACATTGGATTTTATTGGACTTAGCTGTCATGACTCTAGTGTCAATTTCCCAATATAAATGTATTTGTGCATAAACTAACTGTAAATGTACTTATATCTTATTATTATCGTTAGTATAAATACGTTTGGGAACCAGAAAAAGTGCTCATCATGTAGATAACATTGTACATTTATATATTATCTACCCCGAGAAATTGATAAAAAAATCGTTTTCTATTGAATATTTTAAATTTATCAATCAATTTGGGTAATGTTTTCAATATAATAAGAAAACGTAAAATCATTCGGTTAATAGAAAACGATTGACTCTGTATCCCAATTAGCAGAAAATTAGGATTTTCAAATTATTATACGTGCAATACATTAGATGTTGTGGTTTGCAACAGTGTACATAATATAAGAAATATCACTAAAAATAAGTTTGTTATATGTGTGGTATCTAATATTGTTGATTTTTCACAATTGCAATTTGCCTAATTATTCAAACTACTATAGAGTCATATAAAATCCAATATAAAATAATGCTGTCGCATGGATTCGTACTAATTTTTCATTTTAGACTATTTAATCAGCTTGCTTCAAATTAATTTTTACAAATTAATAATAAAGCAATAATACAGTTAAATTAATATAAAGTAATATAGGAGTCTATCGAAAATTACTGCATATTTATTTATCAGGTTATTCCGCCAAAAATTGAAAAATACTAAGCATAGTAGGTACTCGTATAGCTAATACCTCCATCATAATAAATAAATTGTTCATATCATTTAAAAATAGAAATCATAGTTGTAGTTTTCTGTAGACTCGGAATACATTTTTCTTTGACCAAATATTAAGCGAATTTATGCACATCGAAATTTTGAAAACATAAATCTAAATATCCTACGAAGGTGCCTGTATGTAACGTAAACATATCTATCGTGCAGGGCTTTTTGAACGGTTCTGTTTTATTTGAAAGCGGGAGTAAAGTAGATTTAAAAGCGAAT